CGTGGTCATCCCTCGTGTCAGGTTCAGCGCTGGCGCCCCCGGCGCGACCATCGGCATCCAATCACCCGGACCATCGAAGCGCATGAGCTCCGCGTCGATCCCATAGGTGTCGCTCCAGCCCCAGCCCGCAAGCGATGTGAATGCTTGCTTGAGCACGCGCTCGAGCGTCAGGGCGTGACTCGCCAGCGCGTCGATCACTTCCGCCGGTTGCTGCGTGAGCGAGGTCACGCTGGCGACCTCGACGCACGCTTTCGCCGCGACAGTGGCCCACGCGATCCCTGGCCAGAAGCCCCAGGCCGCGCCATCGACGCCGCGTCGCCTCGCCCAGAGCTTTATAAACCTCGTCGCCTGCGCGAAAACCTCCTGCCCGCCGACACTCGCCACGCGCGCCTGGAGCGCTCGCGCGACCTCGGCGCACTCGAGCGCTCGCGCGCTCGACAGGTTTTCCGCCGCCGATGACGCCGCCTGGATATCGAGCCAGAGCCCTCTCACGCGCGCTCGCAGCACGGGCTGTTTGCTCTCTTCGACGAGCATGATCCTCTCGATCGAACCCTCGCTCGCCAGCCTCGCATGCAGCGATCGCAAGATCTCTTCGGTGGATTGCTCGCCGACCGCGAGCAGATCGATGTCCGCGCCTGGCAGCATCCCCTCGAAGCTTCGCGAGCCGATCAGTTCGAGCGTGATGCCGAGCTCTCTTGCTACCTCTTCTGCGATCCCCATGGCGCTCAAGACGGCGTCAGTTTCGTCCACCTCTCCGAGCTCATCGCGGAGCACGAGCTCCGCGATGGCGCCTCGCGCAAGCGGCACGCGATGCCTGATCTCGAACGGGCCGTCATCACGCCTCGAGATGAGCGCGAGCTCCGTGCACCAAAATCGCTGCTCTTCCCACTCCTCACGCGCGCTGGCGATGTCCGCATGCACCTCGCTCCCCCTGAGCGAACCGAGCGTCAGGTGTGGTGTGTAACCGTGAGCGCCGCGCTCGCTTTGCTCGGTCCATGGCTCCTGCTCGATCGTGGCCTGCAATGTCTCGAGCGCCTGCCCCTCAGAATCACAGCTCGCCCACAACGTGGTCGAAGAGCGATGAGAGAACGTCCCGAGCTCTCCCAGCGTGATCTGGAAAGGCTCGAGTTCGCGCACCGCGTCCTCCAGGATCAACGCCGCCTCCTGGAAGTGGCGCTCGGGCGCGAACGGATAGAGCAGGGTGATATGCGGCATCCACCGCTCGATGCGGCGCAGATCGTGCTGACGTCGCAGCTCCTGAATCGGCTCGTGACAACGCTCGGGCGGGATCACGACCACCGCGCTCCTGACCACTGGGGTCGCATCGGTGGCTCGCCGTTGCCCCATCCAGAGCGTCGTGACCAGGCCATAGTGATCCGATGGGGCGAGCGTCCCGATGCGTCGCTGATGCGCGAAGTGCTCGACCTCCACGGGCGCTCCCTGGTCGAGGCGACAGAGGATCCTGTCAAACCGAGCGCGCTGATCGCCGCTCGCGGTGAGCGCGGCCGTGGGGTTCGTGTCCGTGTTAAACGTTAACCCTCGCTCGCCAGGATGCGTCAGCTTCCAGGCATCCACGAAGCCCTCGACCTCGAAGGAGCCGCTGTGCTCGCCACGCGTCAGGTTGAAGTCTCCGAGGATGACAACCTCGGGCGCCGAGCGCGTCAGCGAAAGCAGGCGCTCGACCTGTTCTGCTCGCTTTGCCTTTGCGTTTTTGGCGCGCGAACTCGTCAGATGGATCGCCGCGATTTGCAGCGGGCGATCCTCGAACTCGAGGTTGGCGAACACCACACGCTTCTGCTTGGAGAACTTGTGCAGCGCACATCGCATGGGCCAACGCGAGAGGATCAGCTGGCCATGTGGCGTGACGGACCGCGCGGCGGGTCCATCCGAGAGGTAGTAGCTGCGCCTGACCCACGGTTGTCTGGCGAGCGCGGCGAGGAAGCTCGGCTCGACCTCTTGCAACGCGATGACATCCGCGCCGAGCTCTTCGAGCTCGCCAAAGATCGTCGCGTGGCGAACCGACTCGTCGAGGTGATGTCTCGCGAAGGAGTCGAAGAGCACGTTGTAGGTCGCCATCCTGAGCCGCTCCGGGGAGCGCGCGCCTGCCTCGACAAGCTCGCGCTCTTTCACGGGTTTCCAGGCAGAGTGATCCCAGCGATACGTCGCGATCGATGTCACCCCGGGCGCGCCGAGCGCGCCGGTCCCGTAATCCTCATCGTCATCCTCTTCCTCGGCGCGCAAGGCGGCCATCGGATCGGTCGGCGAGACGACCTCGTCGATGCGGCGCTGCCGGTCCCAGACGATGATGCCATCGCGTTGAAACACCTCGACGCGATGCCAGGGGATCACATCCTCGCGCCACTCGAGGAAGGGCACCTCCGCGAGCTCCCCGGATCGCTGCCTCCAGAGCACAGAGAAGCGCGACTCGTCGATGCTCGGGTCCCACTTGATCCGATTATAGACTTGTTGGCCTGTGGCAAACGGCTTGTTGTCGCGACCCATCCGGTCCTCCTGTTTGCTCGGGGAGGTGAGCGTACCCGGTAACCTCCCCGAACCGAGATTTATTCAGGAGGTGTCGAGCGAGGCCGCGATGGGACGACAGGTTTATTGGTAGGGCACGACCAGCACGGGCTTCTCGCTCGAGCGCAGCACATGCTCGGTTCGCGACCCGTGGCGCATATCGAGCAGGCTGTCGTGTCCATTGGTCGACATCGCGATCAGATCGACATCGTACTCTCTGGCGACCTCGCGCACCACGTCCTCGAGGACGCCCTCTCGCGTGACCGTGGGGACCTTGGCTTGCGCGAAGCAGGGGAGAGGTCGCCGACCGACATGCAACAGGACGAGCTCGGGGCGATCCACGCTGATCCTGTTAAGGATGTGCTGGATCGCTTCCATCGCGGGGTGGAAGGCGTCCTCTTCCTCGACCGGGATCAACACGCGCTTCAAGGTGATCGCGCCGTTCGATGCGTTCACGAGCCCCCGGCGCCCATGTGGCAAGACCAGCGTGGGGTTGCGAATATTACGAGAGAGCGCCTCGGAGACAGATTCGCTCGAGCTGTCTCCGAGCAGCGCGCTCTGGCGCTTCCCGACGACCAACAGATCCGGCGAGATGTCGTGGAGCTGATCGAGGAGCACGCCCACAGGATCGGGGCAATGGTCGAAGCGGAGCTGGTGGTGCGAGATGTCAGGGCGTCGCCAGCGACCGAGCAAGGGCTCGACCTCGGGCAGCTCCGCCTCACGTACGCCCTTGTTCGTGTGAATCGTATAAAGGGGAGCTTCACTCGCGAGCGCGAGCGCGACGCTGTGCTCGAAGGCGCTCGCGTCGAACGCGTCGAGGCTCGATGCGTGGGCGATGACAAAATCACTGGGCTTATGGATAAGCGCGAACATGGAAACCTCCTTGGCGTGCGGTGCTCGATGTCGCGCTTGTGCAAAGCATAAGTTATGTAAAATAGAATAGCGTGCGCGCCACCTGTCTGGCGCGCACGCCTCTTCTCTCGAACGCGTCATTTTTGCGCCAGCGGCGTTTACCGCGATGAATTTACGGCTTATTCGGTGGCGTCCTGGTGATAGAGCTCGGACTGGGGTTGGACGCCGAGCATGCGCAGGGCTCCTTCGAGCCCCCGCCAGAAGTTGATCTTGTCGAGCAGCGGGTTCATCCAACCATTGGTGATGCAGTAAGAGCAATCATGTGGGTAGGCGTGGTGTCGGTCGTGTTCGTTGGTGGGGAGGATCAACCTCATCCGCTGGAGCGCGCGCGCCGTGGCTGGAGGTTCCTCCATATGCGCCCACTTGTGGAAGAGGTTTGTCCCCACAGTGCCAAGAATGGCCACCGCGAGCGCTCCGCCCGTGACCGAGGCCCAACCTCCAAGGGTCGCCAGGTAGAGCAACCCTGACTGAATCGGCAGGACCGCCATGGCCGCGAGCGCGACGGTGTCCGTGCTGTCGAACTGCACCATGTAGGTCGGGAAGTCGTGGTGCATCCTGAAGGGCTTGATCACGGTCTGTCCGACAAACGGCGTGTCCACGCTCCCGTATGTATCCAGGCCCCAGTGCGTCAAACCAGTGAGAAGATCCGCGAGCATCCAAGCCAGCGGCAAGGCCGCGCAGAAGACGCCCACCTGCCACGCGCCCTCGAGGCGCGTGATCGCGAAGTAGATCGTGATGGCCGTGACCGCGTAAAACGTGGGCACGAAGATGCGCATGAACCGCTCGAGCTTTGTCGGAGCTGCTGGCGGTGGAGGCGGTTGCGGTTTGGGAGAATGATCTTCCATGGCGTGCGTTCACCTGGATGGCGGTGTTGGTGTTTGGTGCGACGGCTTCGAGTATCTCTAAAAAGGGACACGAGGAGCAAGTGACAACGCTGCGATTGTCATCGCGCGCGATGACCCCGACAAGAACGGTACGCATCTGTTTTAGCGTGGGATCGCAAAAAGTGGTTTTGCTCTTGTCACGCGCATGACGCTCCCTCACACTGTGAACAGAGTATTTCTCTGGAAAATTACAGGGGCCGGTTTTCAAACCCTAGGAGAGTCACGTGAGTTCAAGTGCTTGGACTGTTCGACCGATGGAGCAGCAGCATCTGGAAGGGTGCGCCAATATTATCGATGGCTCGTCATTCTTCTCGGAGTGGGGGCTGAGGGGTGAAAAGATCGCTCAGGGGCTGTTAGGCGAACTCGAGGCGGGAGACGCGGACCTTCGCGTCCTGGTCGATGAGGAAAACCATGTGCAAGGCTTCGCCTGGTTGATGCCACGCGGTGCGTTCGGTCGAAGCGCTTATCTGCGCCTGATCGCGATCTCCGAAGATCAACGCCAGAAAGGGGGAGGGCGCCAGCTGATGGAATCACTCGAGCGGGAGTACCTCGCATCCCATGGTATCGCGCTGTTGGTGACCTCGGAGAACATGGGCGCGAGGCAATTCTACGAGAAGCTTGGCTACGAGCAGGTCGGGCTCCTCCCTGATTACATCAAGGATGGCATCGACGAGTGCCTCTACCTCAAGCAGTCGCGTTAACCCCATCCCACCAACTTAACCCCATCTGGACCTCGGTCGTCTCGAAACCGACCGAGCCGTAGACCCCGGTCGCCGGACCCTCCGGGTCCGCCACGATCACGTGGTTCTCGAGCCGTCCCACTTCCTGCGCGAGCAATCGCGCGCTCTCGACGAGCAAACGCGCGCAGATGCCCTGGCGTCGATGCGCGGCGTCCGTCTCCACGGATTGATAGCGCGCTACGCCATTCCCATCATGGAAGAGCCCCATATCTGCAACCAGTTCAGCGCCAATGAAGGCGCCGTACCAATGCCCCATGCCTTGCCGTGACATCTCCCGGTAACGCTTCATCTGCGCCACCTTGAAGACGGTATAGCTCTCCCTCGAGAACCTCGCCTCCCGGTTCTCGATCTGGAGCGTCGTGGCGGCTTCCCACTCCTCGTCTGTCCGCAGCGCGCGCACCTCGACCTCGTGATTGGTCTGCGCTGGAAAGGAGAGCGTCGGGGCCGTCATCACCAACGAGTCCTCGACCACGAAGCCGCGATCGAGGAACGGTTGGCACTCCCCGCGTTCTCCCTCGACCGTATCCCAGGCAAAGGCGATGTGTTCTGTGGGTTGTTTGGCCGCGATCTCTTGCTCGAAGAGCGCGCACCAGCGCTCCATATCGCCTTCTTTTGGAGGTTGATCGAAGAGCAGGAAGTTGCCCCAGTGATAGCTCGGGTTGGTCTCGGTCCTCGCGACGATATGATCCTCTCGAACGAGCACCTCACCATCGAACCGCACGAAGATAAGGTCTGTGCGGTAACCCATCGAACGCACACGCAAAACAGCTCCTTTGGCCAGCGGTCAGCGGTCAGGGCGCAGAGAAACTCCCCGAGCCGAAATCGACGGGGATATCCAGGCACCAGATGCTCACGGCGTTGAGGTCATCCATCGCCTCTCCCTCGGGGAGCTTGGCAACAAGCGTCTCGTCGCTGTAACCGCCAGCGCGCAACAGGTTGTCCGTCATCGGAAAACCTTGCGTGAAGTCTGTCCCTGGCGCGCCGTACACGCGCACGTCGAGGCCTGTGCCATCATAGTTGAAGTTACGGATCTCGACCGTGCAATCATCCACGATCACCGCCGTCCCGCTGACGCCATGCGCCTTGGTGCTCAGGGTCGCCGTCCACCCGATCTTGCTGCTCGTCATGCCGCAGCCGCCGGGCGTGGTGTTGTTGCCCGGTGTGGTGTTGTTGGCTGTCGTATTGTTGCCTGGCGAGGTGTTGTTCGTGGCCGTGTTATTGGCGCTGGTGTTGTTCGCGGCAGCCGTGTTGTTCGCGCTGGTGTTGTTTCCAGTGGTCGCGTTGTTTCCAGTGGTCGCGTTGTTTCCAGCGGTCGCGTTGTTTCCAGCGGTCGCGTTATTGGCGCTGGTGTTGTTGGCCGAGGCGTTGTTCGCGCTAGTGTTATTGGCCGCGGTGTTGTTGTTTGCCGCGGTGTTGTTTTCATCCTCTTCAGGCGTCCCACAGGCCGTGAGCGCGGTCGAGAGGAGCGCGATCGAGAGCCATTTCGTGGCTCGGTTCCATGTCTTCATCGTCATCAAAAATCCCATGGCGTTTCACCGAGTCGATCAGTGTGAACGACACTTTGAAGAGCACCGGAGAGCTTCCTCCAGTGCCTCGGACATCTCGCCAGGATGCTCGGTGATTTATCCGAGCAAGATGCCACCTGCGATGTGGTAACAGATCAGCAAGGAGAAGGCCATGAACAGGGCGTAGCTCGCGAACCTCGCCATCCTGTGGTGCCGGTGGCGCGAGAGCAGCGCCACGCCCAACCCCACGAGCGAGAGCTTGAGGAGCACGAAAAACGCCGGGTGCAACGCGATGAGCTGATCCATAAATGGGTTCGCCTCACGCGCGATCCCCATCTGCAGCCACGCGATCGTCGCGATCGCGTCGAGCCCATTCAGGATGAAGATCAACCCCAACAGTTGATGATGCTCGTCCTCTTGCCAACCTCTGGCGAGCAACCCTTCGAAGGCTGCATCGGGGTGAGTTTGTGGATTTATCATGGGAACCCTCCAGCGATCTGTGATCACGACATAAATAACGCGCCAACCGGGCGCGGAGATTCTTGCTTTTTTTGGATCGGGGCAGAAGCGGTGGTGATTCTCGCCAACGCGCGCACCCTTAAAGCTCGGTTCATGAAGCGTGTCGGCAAGTTGACGTGGGCAGCGCCAGGTTCTAAAAGTTCGATGGAGGCTTGTTTGTGTGTTAGCCTCGCTCGACAAGGACAAACCCGAATCCTCGTGGTTGTCGCTGGCGCTGATAAGAAAGTGGGATGGCACGATGGAATTGATCGAGAATTACATGCCCATGGGTAGCCTCGTCGGCGAGCGCTATGAGGTCATCGGCGTGCTCGGTTCGGGCGGGTTCTCCTATGTGCTTCGGGCGCACGATCGACAGGAGGATCGGACAGTCGCGCTCAAGGTCCTCGATGTCCTGGGGCTCAAGCAGGGGCGTCGTTATGACGAGCTGCTCGCTCGCTTCGAGCGCGAGATCGAGCTCATCGAACAGCTCCAGCACCGGAACGTGCTCTCGATCTATGGCCACGGATTCCACGAGACTCCGCGTATCCCTTATATGGTCGTCGAGTTCCTCGATGGTCAGGACCTCGGCCAGTATATCCGCGAGCATGGCGGCTTCTCGGCGACGCGCCTCTGGCCGATGCTCTTCCCGATGCTCGACGCGCTCGCCATGGCGCACGATCGCGGCATCATCCACAAGGATCTGAGCCCGGCGAACCTCTTCCTGCGCGATCCCGGCACGAGCAAGGAGACGATTTGTATCCTCGACTTCGGGATCGCCTACTGGCGCTCGGCAGCCCAACGTCTCACCGCGCAGAACAAGTTCCTCGGGACGCCGCGTTACATCGCGCCCGAGTACGCCTCGCGCCAGGTCGTCTCACCGGCCATCGACATCTATCAAATGGGCCTCGTCCTCGTCGAACTCCTGGTCGCCAAGCCCGTGGTCCGCGCCAAGAGCAACCTCGCCGCGCTCTACAGCCACATGAACGGCAACCTCCAGATCCCCGCCAAGCTCGTCGACACCGAGCTCTGGCCGATCCTGCAAAAAGCGCTCTCGAGCGAACCGGAGGCGCGTCATCAACACGCGCGTGAGTTTGCTGGAGAGCTCGCCAGTATCGACCCCGACGAGCTCCCCGAATTGAGCGAAGATGACGAGACCGTCAAGATCTCACTCACCTGACAAACTCAATCATCCAACATCCCGTAGCGCTCGTGGATCGCTTCGTGCTCCGCGATAAGCTCCTCTCGCGCGTTCATCTTCTCGAGCAGGCGCGACCACTCCAGCGGGTGCTCCAGCTCTTTTGTGTGCTCCGCGAGGTATGCGTGCACGGCCTCGAGATCTGCGTCTCTCGGCACCGCGAGCATCATGTAGAGCGCCTCGAGCGGTGCGTCTGACTCCGGATCGTGCAGCATGTAGCCTTGCGTCGGGACATGCTCGCTGGCCACGCCGAGCTCGTCGAGGAGCCCCTGTTGCAACGCCTCGAGCTGCTCCTCTGGTGGGCAAACGCCATGGAGCGTGAAGCTGTCGTGAAAATCCCCTTTTTGTCGCACCGCGAGCACCGTGTAGGTGTCATGGTGAGGTTGATCCTCGGGATGATCCTCTGGCCTTGGCGTGAGCGAGCTCGGCTCGAAGATGACCTCGTCTTCAAAGTGCTGCGCGCGCCTGGTGCGCGCGATCTCGACCACCTTTGCTGTCACCGGGCTATTGCGCACGGCCCAGTAAGTCGGCGCATCCGGTTCCTGTGAGAAGGTCACCAGACACATCTGGAAGGGCTCGTCGATCGGCCCCTCTTCGGTGTCGAACTGGAACCCGATAGCACGCGCAGAGGCATGCACCCGCTCCCAATCCTCTTGCATGGTCGCCACGACCATCCTGTCCCAATGGATATTCTGCAGCGGGACATCCTCGGTCTCGAACTGCTCGAGCTGCGCATCGAGCATCGCGATCGCTTCCTCGTAGCGACCTTCCTGTCGCAGCAGATGCGCGCGCATCGGGCGTGCTCCTGACCATTCGGGTTGGCTGTCGATGACGACCGCGAGCGCATCGATCGCCTCGTCGAGGACGCCCTGTTTCCAGCGCAATTGCGCGAGCATCCAGTGCGCGCCAGCGCCCATTTCATCTGGCGCATCGGCGAGCTCGGCGATGAGGTGCTCGATCTTGTCGAACTCCTGAGCATCCATCAGCGCGGTCGACAACCTCATCAACCGATCGATCGTCGGGAAGGCGCGGTATCCCTGCTCGAGCGCCGCGTGCGCGTCGCCGTCAAAGCCGACCGCGTCGAGCGCGTTCGCCAGGCTAAAGAGCAGGTCATCCTCGTCGGGGAATTGCTTCAAGCCCGCGCGAAAGAGCTGCATGTCGAGCTCGGGATCGCCGAGCAGTTGGTCGAAGATCTGCGAGGCATCCTCGTAGCTCTCGGTCTCCTCTTCCTGGTCCTGTAGCATCGTGCGCTGGCGCTGCTCGAGCGCCTCGACGGTTTGCATATCCTCGTAGGGCTTTCGCAGCTTGGGGAGCTCTGCGGCCAGCAAATCGAGCGAGCGACGCGCGATCTCGGGCTGCTGCCTGTCGAGCGCGTGGCGCGCGTGCATCAGCGAGAGCTCGACCGCGCCGCGCACAGCGCCGTTGCCAGCCAATCGCCTTGCCATCACCCAGACGCGGCGCCCGAGCAACCACGAGTTCTCGACTGTTTCTGCCTCGAGCAAGGCGTCGAGCGCCTTGGCCGCGCTTCGATAAAAGGTCGGCGTCTCGACGATCACTTCCCATGGCGGCAAGCACTCGAGCCCTTCCTCTCCACGCCCCAGCTTCGCCAGGATCTTTGCCGCCGAGAGCTTGCGGTGCACGAGCCGGTGGCGCTGGATGCCTTCGTGTTCGAGGCGAGTGATATCGGCCTGCGCGATCTCGAGCGCCTCCTCCAACCTGCCGAGGTCGATCAGGGCGCCGATCCTGTTGCCGTTAAAGCCATCTTTTCGGTACTCCACCACGCGTGGTGGGCAGGTCGCGACGAGCGCCTCGACCTGTTCGTCGAGGAAGTCGAGCGCCTCTTGCGCGCGGCCATCATCGAGCAGCGCGCCCGAGTATTCGTTGCTGATGCACTCGAAGCACTGCCAGTTCGGGTCGATGCGCGAGAGCGTCTCGGAGGCCACCGCGAGCCGCTCGTCGACATATCCCTTGTCGTCGCGTTGCGCGTAGGCCACCGCCAGATCCTGCGTGGTACACACCGACTGCGGGCAATCCTTGATCCCGTCACGGTGCGCGAATTCGAGCAGGTCGATCGCCTCGCTCAAATACTCGCCGGTCTCCATCCTGTGCAGGATCTTGCTCTGCAGGTTCCAGTGGCGGATGAAGAGCTCCGCCCAGTCGAGCCCCAGCCTCCGCGCGTGCGCGAGCGCCTCCGGGACCGCCGCGTCCAACTCGGCGTGTTCATCATCGCACGCCAGTGATGGGATGCGGTCCATCAGATCTGCGAGGCGATGCTCCTCGTCATTGTAGAGCTGCTCGCGCGTCTCTCGTACCCATTGCCAGATGTTCATCTCGGTAATCCTTGTTCTTCTCGTGCTTTACTGGAGCAGCGCCAGGAGATCTCTGTTCATCACCGCGAGCGTGTCGTCGAGCCGCTCGCCAGTGTCCGCGCTCGGCGCCATCAACAGGCCGATGCCAAAGAGCAACGACGCGACCTGTCTCATCGCGCCCTCGTCGAGGTCTCTGTCGAGATCCACGAGCGCCTCGATGACCTGGTTGTCGAGGTTGACGTAGAGCCTCGCCTCGTGCGTGTCGTCGATCTGATTGGTGAACAACCTGGCGAGCCCGAGGACTGCAGTGGAGATGCGCTTGTCCTGCTCGTCATCCTCCATTTTGCGCTTGAGCTTGACCTCCTGATCATAGGTCAGCACGAGCGGCAAGGTGTCCGGCTTGAATCGTGTGGCGACGACCTCGATCTTCTCTCGCGAGAAGAGCTCGTCGAGGCGAGCCTGTTGCTCTTCTTCGAGCTCGACGCGCTTGAACATCAACTCGTTGCCCTCGCGCGTGCCGAGCTCGATCAACGGCAGGCCGCGCCGGTCGCAGTACTCCTTGACGAAGGCGTAGGCGGCAAAGCGCATCCCGTCGATGATCGGCGTCTGGAGCGCGCGAAACAGCACCTCGTCAGGTCCTCGGCGATCATAGAGCGAGAGGTGAACCTCCTTGGAGCGTCGCGCGATGACCGGCATCGTCAGCTCCCCCTCGGTGGTCGGGAGCGTGAGCTGGTCCGCGACGAGCGCGAACAACCTTGGATCACTCACCGCCGCGCCGCGCAAGCTCTCGTTATGGCGCCGGAGCGTCCTTCGCCATGCCGCAGGCTCTCGCTTCGCGAGCTCCTCGAGCCCTTCGATGAGCGCGTTCCTGACATGCACCTGCGTGCGCGTATAGAGCTGGTCATCCACCAGATCCTCACGGCTCGCCGTCGGCGTGAGCGCCCTCGAGTCGAGCACCGCGCCGATAAACCCTGCCCAGACTGGCAACAGCTCTCGCTCATCGCGTGTGATCAGCATCCCGCGCACGAACACCGAGGCGCTGCGATGATCGCTCGTCGCGTAACTTCGGCCATCCTGGACCCAGGCGAGCCCGCCTCGAAAGCCGAGCTCTGGGGCAGGGGGGATCGGCAAGGTCGCAAGTGGCTCCCAAAGCCGCTCGAAGCGCGTGGCAAACTCCAGGCGCTTCTTCTTCGCGAGCACCGGACCGAGCGCGGCGTCATCCTGTAGCCAGGGTGGCGGCTCGTCATTGATTTGCCCGATCCCCTGCAACATCACCGGCAGCGGGAGCAAACAACAGTAGGTCCGCAAGATCTCGTCGAGGTGGAGCGGGTTGCCAAGCTTGCTGTACTCCTCCTTGAGGTGCAGCCTCACCAGCGTGCCAACCTTCGCGCCCTCCGGCGATGCCTCGCCCAGCGTGAAGCGCTCGCCGGTCTGGCTCGCGAAGCGCCAGCGTTTGTCTGGCTCCTTGTAGGATGTGGTCAACACCTCGACGCGATCGCTCAATACATACGCCGAGAGAAAGCCCAGGCCGAACGCGCCGATAAGATCTGCGTCAGCGTGTTGCTCGCGCAGCTTGCGCGTGTACCCGGCGCCGATGGTCGCCAGGTAGTCGATGATTTCCTGGTGTGTGAGGCCCGCGCCGTTGTCCTCGATTTCGAGCACATCGGTCAGGCAACGTATCGTGATCGTGCCAGTGAGTTCTGTACCCGCTTCGATCGAGCGTCTCACACATGAGTCATGCGCATTCTGGACAAGTTCGCGCACCGCCACCACTGGAGTCGAGTAGAGGTTCTTCCCCACCACTTCCATCAGCCCGGCAAAGTCCACCTGGACGCTGCGCACCTCTTCGGTTGCCATCTTCCACCACCTCTTGGAAAGGTTCATTGGTCGTGACACACCATAACAAGATGTCGCGGATCTATCTTCCTTCTATGTCGAGTTTCGCGGCACCCTCGAAACGCGGCTCAGAGATCGAACGAGACATCGCCCACAGGTCTCGCCACACAGAGCAGGGCGCGCTCCGAACTCTTGCCATCTTCGTGCGATGGCGGGCGGTCATAGCGCACGCTACCGCTGCATATTTTGGCCGAGCACGTGCCGCATGAACCCGAGCGACAATCGAACGGCGCCTCGACGCCTGCGTTCAACGCGAGCTCGAGCAGAGAGCCGCCATCCCATCGCAGCGGTGTTTTGTGAGATGCGAAGCGGACCTCGATCATTTGCGTCGGGGTTTCTTTTGTGAGCGTGCCCCCAAAGCTCTCCGAGGTGATGCGTGTGACCGGCAACGCGCTGATATACTCGCGCATCGCCACATCGAACCCTCGCGAGCCGCAGAGGTAGACTCGCGCGTCTCGCTGTGGCCAGATGCGCTCGAGCGCATCTGGTGTGATCCTGCCCTGTTCAGAGGTGACCTGGATGTGAACGCGCAGGCGCTCCCCGGCGATTTGCTCGAGCAAATCGCGCTCCGCTTCAAAGATCGCGTCCTCGCGCTCGCGCACGCTCCAGACAAGCAAGGTCTCCTCGCCGCGACGCGCGAGCTCGTGGAGCATTGACCAGAGCGGCGTGATCCCTATCCCTCCTGCGACGAGCACCACGGGCGCATCGTGTTGTGCGTCGAGGATGAAGTCCCCCTTTGGAGCAGATGCCCAGAGCGTGTGGCCGATGGCGACTTGCTCGTGGATGTAACCTGAACCCTTGCCCGCAGGGTGGCGTTCGACGCTGACGCGAAGGGTGCGAGAACCTGGCGAGCCACTCAGGGAGTAGCGCCTCGTTCCTGCCGGGAGCGAGACCTCGATGTGTTGTCCTGCCTCGAATGAGGGTCGAGGGGTCGAGGGATCGACAGGCACGAGCTCGAGAGAGCGAACCTTCGATGACGCGTCGTGGATGCTCTTGACGCAGTAGGCGGTCAGGCCCGCAGCAAGAACACTCGTATCTGGCCAAACCCCAGTGAACATGAGGGTCGGCGAGGGTTCCTGGAAATCAAAGGTGAGCGGTATCGCGCCTTCGATGTAGATGGCTCGGTGCGTCTTGATGGCGACGACGCGCTCGGCGCCCTCGACCGCTTCGACCAGCGGACCTCCCCAGATGACCTCGGCTTCTCCTGTCAGGTAGAGCGCATCGCCGCGGTCGAAGTCGATGAACAGCATCCCGGCGCGTGGGTGCACCAACATGTTGCCGATGGTGTTGAAGTGATTGTTCCCCGAGAAGTCAGGCCAGAGCAGGGTGTCTCCATCGCCGCTGACGCGAACAAAGCCTGGCCTGCCGCCGCGGTGAGATGCATCGGCGCCGAGGTTGCTTCCTGGCGCGTCGGCATCATCTCGGTGCGCGGTGGCGATAAAGAAGGTGTCCGAGCGCGCGATCAATGCTCTGGCGCGCTCGTCCAGCGAGGTCATCTCCACGGCGGGTTTCGCGACCCGTTCAGGAGCATGTGTGATCGTGCGGCGTTGGATGTATTGAGGGCAGTTTCCAAACGCCTGCGCGATGCGAAGCGTCAACCTGTCCTCGTGTCGTCGCTCGACCCAGCCCTGAAGTCTGTTTCTTCGCCGCGTGCTCGACTCGATGCCGAGCACTCCGAGCGAGGAACCCTGCGCGAGCGCGCCGAGGACAGGATCGCCTGGCGTCGCGTCGACATCGAGCGTGAGCGTGTATTCGTCTGGTGATTCGATAAAGCCTGGCGCGCCGACGAGCATGCTGGCCCACGGCCAGCCTTGCTCGTCGGTCGCGCCGACGACGATGTAGGGGAGCTGCTGGTAAAAGGCGCGGTGCTGATCGGGCATCCAGTCTCGGATCACGCGCCGACCAAAGTTGGCCATTTGCTCGCGCACGCCCATGCGCCGCTGCGCCTCGAGCTCTCCATCGTGAAAAGGATCTTCGCTCCGCGTCCACCCCGCAGAGAGGTCATGCTTGTTCGAGTGCTGGAGTGCCATGGCTTTCTCACTGGCAAGAGGGGCGGGGCAGAGGATGTATCGAATCGTTCGGGTTCAGGCAGCCTCTTCGCGAGGCTGGATGGTCATCTCGGTGAACCCATTGATGTCGCGCACGCGCTCGAGCCAGGCCAACACGTTGGGGTAAGGCGCGAGGTCCACGCCTCCTTCATGCGCGACGGCGGTGTAGCTATAAATGGCGATGTCAGCGAGCGTGGGGTCGTCTCCCACAAGCCATTGCCCCTGCTCGAGCGTCTGGTCGAGCAGTGTGTAGAGACGCGCGGCCATTTGCTGTGCTTTCTCCAGGTCGTGTCCGGCGCCCAGGAGCTTGACGAGGCGAGCATTTCCTGGACCTCGAACGACCTCGTTCGAGGCGACGCTCAACCAACGTTGAACCCTGGCGGCCTGGAGAGGATCTCTTGGCAACCACTGGCGCTGCGCGTCGTAGCGAAGCGCGAGGTAGACGAGGATGGCGGTCGAGTCCGAGAGGACGACCTCGTCGTCGACAAGCACCGGCACCTGACCGAAGGGGTTCAAGGTGAGGAACTCGGGTTGTTTGTGTTCGCCTGCCATCAAATCCACGCGTTCGATTTGGTATTCGAGCCCGAGGATGTCGAGCAAGAGCCTGGCGCGGTGAGAGTGTCCCGAGATTTCATGTGTGTAGAGGGTGATCATTTGTGTTGCTCCGTGATGTGGTGTTCGAGTGGGCAAAGCGAGGTTGCCCGGCGACGCTTTTGATTTTGAGGTGTTTTTGTTGGTTTTCAATGAGTTGATTTTGTGACTCACTGTCAATGATTTGTTGACGATGTGGTGAGAGGAGATCCAATGAACCCTTACGATGCCTTGCAGACCTTTGTCGCCGTGATCAAGGAGGGCTCCTTCGCGGGGGCTGCACGAGCGCTGGGGATCACACGCGCCTATGTCTCGCGCGCCATGGGAGAGCTCGAAGAGGAACTCTCCGTCCAACTCTTTCGGCGCACGACGCGCTCGCTCTCACCGACCGAGGAGGCGCTCTTGCTCTACGAGCGCGCGCTCCCGTTGCTCCAGCAATGGGACGATGTCATGGGGAGCTTGGCGCCCGAGGAGGAGCTCCGTGGCAAGATCCGAATGGCCGCGCCGAGGAACTACGGCGAGGAGCGCGTCGTGCCTGTGTTAGGGGAGTTCCTCTCGCAGCATCCTGGCGTCGAGGTCGACCTGGTGCTTGGCGATCGCCGCGTGGCGTTGATCGAGGATGGCTTCGATTTGGCGATTCGCATCGCATCGCGCCGAGACGCGAGCCATCGCTACAGGCATTTGGAGGATTGCCCGCTTCATCTCTACGCGACGCCATCCTATCTCGAGAAGAGCTCGCCGCTCGCCACGCTCGAGGATCTGACAAACCATCGCATCGTGGTCGATTCGAACCTCGACGCTGGCGCGCGCTGGCCGCTCGTCGTCGATGGTGATCGTCGCGTCGTGACGGTCCAGCCTTCACTTCGCGTCAACAGCCCGATGGCGGCTTATCGGGCGGTCGCGTGCGGGCTTGGCGTCGGGATGATGACGAGCTGGCATGTCAGCGACGCGGTCGCGCGCGGCGAGCTGGTGCGCGTGCTCGAGCACGCGACCGTGGATCTCTTCTTCGACATTCATGTGATCTATCCCGAGGGCCGCTATACTGCTCCGCGCGTGCGCGCCTTGATCGAGCATCTGACCGGCGCGCTTGGAGCATAGCCTTGATACAAGCGGAGGAGAGCGATGCCATTCGAGAGGACGTATTCGGGAGCGCCGTGGGAGAAGATCGTGGGGTACTGTCGCGCGATTCGTGCAGGTGACCATATCCACGTCACGGGCACAGCGCCTGTGGCTGAAGGGGGCGGCGTGCACGCGCCCGGAGATGCCGAGGCGCAGGCGATGCGCTGTTTGGAGTTGGCCGAGCAGGCGCTACGAGACCTTGGCGCCGATCGCCACGCGGTCGTGAGAACGCGGATGTTCGTCACGGACATCGATCGTTGGGAGGAGTTTGGCAGGGCGCACGCAGCGTTCTTTGGCGAGCATCACCCCGCGACCACGATGGTCGAGGTCACTCGGTTGATCGATGCGCAGATGCTTATCGAGATCGAGATCGATGCTTACGTCGGCGAGGGGTGACAAGAAATAAAAAACGCCGCGCGAGTACGTGGAGCTAGCAAACGATGCTTACGGTCGCCCCGAACCTCTCTCGAGTCGGTCGGCGGATACTTAGGACCGTTCTTTTGTATGTAAGCTCCCGCGGTTTGGGCGCGGCGTTCTTATTTCAGGGGGCTTTAAGCCGAGGATCAAAGCTCCTTATTCCGAAGGCGTCAGGATTTCTCTTCTTCGGTGTCCTTTTCGACGTTCTCGATCCTGTCCTTTTGCTTCTTCTTGCGTACACCAGCGCGCTCGAGGTCGAGCTTCTTCTGGTAGCGCCCCTGGGCGATGTCGACGAGCACGAGGCAGACGATGGCGAAGTAGAAGGTCGACATCTGCATCTTGTGGATTTCGTGGCCGAACGCCTTGATGTGAGCGAGGTGGCCACCTTCGGACAGGAGCATCACGCCGACGAGGAAGAGGATGAACAGCCCGAGCACTTCGTAGAGGCGGTTCTTCTTGAGGAAGTTGGCCACCGTGTCCGCGAGCGCGATCATGGCGATACCCGAGACGATGATCGCCACGACCATGATCCAGATCTTGTCCTTGGCGATGGCGATGGCGCTCAAGATCGAGTCGAAGCTAAAGACGAGGTTCATCACCAGAATCCACGCCACCGCCACGCCGACGGAGCGTTGCGAGTCTTCGTGCCCTCCTTCCTCGAGGTGTTCGATCGAGAGCATGTGCGAGATCTCTTTGACGGCGGTGTGCAAGATGAAGAGGCCGCCGCCCAGGACGATCACGGCGTGCCCTGTCATGTGCCACTCCAGGATGCCGGTCAGCTCCAGGTTCCAGAAGGGCTCCTGGAAGTAACCGATCGCCTTGACGAGTATGAGCAGCAGGGCGATGCGCAAGAAGATGGCGAGGCCGATGCCCAGGCGCCGGACCTTTTGCTGGTCTGGCTCCGGGACGCGCTTGGACTCGAGTGAGATGTAGAGCAGGTTGTCGAAACCGAGCACGGCCTGCAGGAAGATAAGCATGCCGAGTGTGAAAAGATCACCGATCATAAAGCTTCACCCTTTGGTGGATTCTCATTCATCTACGTCTTTGGACCGCATCATTCTTACCAGCGCGGCGCTATTCGTCGAGTATTGATTGCATGTTTGCGATCGACGCCAAGCGCAAACCCGGGCGTCAGTGATGCTCTTCAAGCGGCCGTGCCATCTTTGGCTGTGGCCGTGGAGGAGGAGCTGCTCTGGGTCTTGCCCCAGATGATCCCGATGGTCAGGAGGCCGGTCATGTTGCACGCGATCATCACCTCCCATGCGCGCTCCGGGAGCGCCAGGACGCCGATGATGCTCACCACGAAGAAGAGCGCGCCGAGCCCCAGCACCGGCGCCACGAAGATGGCCATCGTCAGGATGCAAACCAGGTAGGCCAGCGTCTCGGTCGCCAGCGAGAGGTGCACCGGGAGGTCGTTCCACAAAAAGACGCTGCGCACGAAGAGCCCCGAGATCAACGCCAGCGAGAGGATCCCGAGCATCTGTTTGTTGACGCGATTGAGCTGCATGAGCTTTGGCGCGATCGCGACAAAACTTAACCCGATCAACGTGTTGAAGGTCTTCACGGCGATGATGTTGGTCAGGTTGTACTCGATCAACTCGAAGGTCCAGAGCAACCTCGAGGCGCCAGCGATCACGCCCCAGGTCAGCGCGAGCGCCGCGATCACCAGCGCGCGCTTGCCCCGAGAGAGGTTGATGTCGAGGTCTTGCTTCATCTCCTCGTATTCTTCGAGCTGTCGGGTGCGCTGCTCGATCGCGGCCTCGAGCTCGGTGAGTTTGCCGAGGCGAACGCTGACGCCGCGCGCGGAGAAGTCCTTGAGCTCGCGGTGAATCGCGCGCGCTGCCGAGAGGTTCTCGCGCTCGATCTCGAAGCCAAACATCAACGCCAGCGTCTGCACGAACATCTCTTCCCCCGAGCGATCCTCGGGGTTGATGGCGAGCGCGCGACGGATGGCAAACCGAAGCTCGCCATAGAGTTTGTAGATGGCGACGATGGCGCCCTCATCCTCGTGCGAGCCATCGAGGAACGCGCGGAAGTCACGCAAGGAAGCGCGCGCCAGCGCGAGCAGCTCGCGCGCCTCGCGCTGCGTGCGAAACCTGGCGATCTCGGCGCGCAGGGCGTCCGCGCTCTCCTGGCGAGCGTCGGGAGCGCGCGCCGTGGCGCGGTTGAGGATCGATGCAAGATCCGGGTGCACGGTCTCCGGGTAAGAGTAAGGGCCACCCTGAACGCAGCGACGCAGCAGATCGTAGAGGTCGCTCCCCTGATTGCGAGAGGTTCGCACCAGCGCGTAGTGGAGCGACGCGGCGAGCTGGTAGATGTCTGTCGCCGGGCCGATCTCGTCGTGTTGCAGCGCGGCCATCTCGGGCGCCATATAACCAGGCGTGCCGCATGGCGAGGTTAAATCCATGACCAGCGGCACATCCCCGCGATCCTCATCGCGCATGCTCACGGCGATTCCCCAGTCCACGAGCAACACCTCGCCGTGCGAGCCGAGCATCACGTTCGAGGGCTTGATGTCGAGGTGGAGGATGCCGCGTGTATGCGCGAAGTGCACGGCGCTACAGACGCGCTCGAAGATCTCGAGGTGCGCCGAGAGAGGATCGTTCTCGACACGAAATTGTTTGGGGAGCAGCGCGGGGAGCTTGATCGCTTGCTTCCACGAGACGCCCTCCACGCGCTTCATCACGTAGAGCGGGAAGCCGCTCTTGTCCACCCCGAGTGAGTGGACGGGCACGATGTGAGGGTGCTCGAGGCGCCCGGTGATTCGCGCTTCGTGCAAGAGCTTGTTGCTGTTGCTGTTGTTTTGCTTGTCGCTTCGAAGCGTCTTGATGGCGACGTAGCGGCCGATGCTCTCTTGCTCGGCGAGGTAGACCTCGCCCATGCCTCCGACCCCGATCTGCTCGATCACGTTGAGCTCGGAGAAGTCTCCATCATTGCTTTGGAGCGTGGGGAGGTTGTTCTTTGACGCGGTGGACCAGTCGGCGAACCTCGCGGAAGAGTCCCGCGAAGAGGTGGACTCGGAGACGGACGCGTTGTCCTGGATGAATGTCTCCCAGACGCGGGTCAACTCTTCATCCACGAGGTCGTCATCTCGTTGGTTCTGGTCACTCATATCAACCTCGGGGCTCGTGCTTGCAACCCCTTGTATCTCGCGTCAGTGCGAGGGTCCAGCCTGATGGTGTGGTTTGCTTTTGTTTTCAGAGAGATGATGGAAGACATGGGCAGGATGCGTAAAGAGGTGGAGTCAGTGAAGGGTCAGGATGCTCATCCGACCCTTCGCCGACCCGCCTCCTCAGTGGCCGCGAGCGCGGGGCCGCTTTATCGTGACGTTCTCTGCGCTCTTCTTGGCCGATGCCTCGAGGATCTTCTCGAGGTCGGGGATGAGCACGATCTCGGTGCGGCGGTTCTGCGCCTTGCCATCATCGCTCGAGTTGTCCGCGATCGGGTCGAACTCACCGAAGCCCGCCATGCCGAGGACATCCGTCGGGACGCCCGCCTTGATCATGACGTCGAGGGCCGCGCGAGCGCGCTTTGCCGACAGCGCCCAGTTCGAGTCGAACTCCTTGGCTTTCGCCGCGATCGGCACGTTGTCGGTGTGACCTGCGAGCAGGATGCGACGCTGTGCTTCGAGGTTGCTGAGCGCGGTGCCCACCTGGGTGAGAACCTTCACGCCTTGTGGCGAGAGCTTGGCGCTGCCCGACTCGAAGAGGATCTGGTTGGGGAGCTGGATCACGAGCAACCCGCGGCGCGACGTGATGGTCAATTCACCTGCTTCGATCATCTCGGCGAGGACCTTGCGAAGCTCTGCCTCGAGCTTGGCGCGCTCGTCGAGCAGGGCGCGGAGCTCGGCGCCTTCCGACTCGAGCTTTGCGAGGCGCGCCTGCGCGGCCTCGAGGTCTGCGCGTGCCTGAGCTTCGCTCGCTTGGCACGCTTCGAGCGCGCTGTTGTCGACCTTTTGCTTACCCGCACAACCGATCGTGGTGACGCTACAGACAGCCAGGAGACCGAGTGTGGTGATCATCTTTTTCATGGTGCTACTCCTCTTGACGACGCACACCCCCGATACTTCCACTCGGTGGAGGTGCTTCGTTCTTACGGCTTAAAGTTTACGTGGAATTTGTTCGTGTAGATGGCGCCGCCCTCTGCGAACGAGAGGATTAGGAGTGCTTTACACCATCGTCTACAAACAGGCATTTTAGGCACCTGCCCCCGCAGGCAAGCGGTGAGGTGCATTTTTTTGTCATTGATTGCTCGAAGTGCCCGCATCGCGAGCATTCATGAGCATATGGCGTGATGAAAAAGATCTTGCCTCGAGCCTGTTTCGGGGGGCACTCTCGAGGAAAAGAGCACCCCACATGTTGCCAGCCTGAACCACCTCGAGCGGAGCGCCACGCCATGGAACAAGAGGTCCACCTCGGAACACCGTTATCGATCAAGAGCGCCTTTCGCTTCCCGTTACAGCACGCGCTGGCGCGAAAGGAGGTGCTCATTGGCGCAGCGCTCCTGCTTGTCCCGGTGGTCGGCTGGTTGCTCAACATGGGACATCGCATCGAGATGGTGCATCGGATGCATCACGGGTTGCCCGCCTGGCCAGCCTGGAATAACTGGGGCAGGCTCTTCAAACATGGCGTGCTGACGTGCCTCGGCATGATCGAGTACCACGCACCCGCCTCGATCTGTTTCGCCATCGCTGCCTTCTACGACATCCCCTTGCTTTATGGCGTCGGCGCGGTGCTCTGGGTCATGGCGACGATGATGGTGCCCGGCTACATGACGCACTTTTGCGTGCACTTCGACGCCTCCGAGATCTTTAACCCCTTCAAGGCCACGCGTCGCGTCTTCGAAGGTGGGCTCGCCTACCTCCACGCCTGGATGATCGCGCTGACGGCGATGTGCCTCTCCTTCCTCGGGCTGTTGGTCGTCGGCATTGGCTTTCTGCCTTCGAGCGTGTGGTTCTGGCAGGTCGCGGGCTTTAGCTTCGCCACCGTGTTTACCCAAACCTTTCATTTGCATCAGGATTCGACCGAGCAGGCCGCGACCTCTTGAAATTTTCGAGGATCACACCCCGCGCGCCATGAAAAACTGCGATGAGTGGGACAGTTGGGAAAGTCTTGCTTTGGTTTAAGTTGTTGTTTTTGTTTGTGTTTTGGTTGTTTTGCTTCTGCTGGCACGAGATCTGCTGAAAGAATGTGGTGATGGATATGAGACACCACATCGCGACCTGGATCGCCCCTGCATTGTTGCTCGTTTGCTTCCTCGGCGCCTGTGTTCCTGCCGAGGAAGGGCGTCAACCTGTGCCTTCGGCGACGACACCCCCGACTGGCTCTACCGAGCCGACGTTTATCGAGGCGCACGCGGTAGACTACCTCGAAGATCGAGCGTGGCGCCGAGGCCAGCTCGAGGATTCGCTCTGGATGCCAGAGCTTCCTTACGCGCGAAAGCGCCTGGCTGGTTATGCGCTCCCGGAAGAAGAAGGGGGGTGGGATTTGCTCCC